AGATGCTCAGTGGTGGGTTCTGAAGAAACTGTTCTTTCTCAGGAAAGAGATCTTGAAGTTACGGTAGGTAATTTTCTGTAAACATCAGCTCAGTGTGCAGACACAGTCAAACAAGTAAATAGAACAGTAGTGGCTAGTAGGAAAGGAGCATATAAAAAGTATAAAGAGTGTAGAAGAGAAAAGAATTATGCCACTCTTAATCCGTCATAGACCTGCCTTCAAAGCACGGAGGACAGGTCTGGCTTTCTAACCTGGAAAAGAGTATAAAAGATAGAAAAAATATAGACTTGGACAATAAGAAGGATTAAGTATAGTTTCTGTATAAAGAACAGCCGGATAGATATGAGTCTTTAACCCAGAGGTCTGTAAAAGCAGAAGGATATATATAGAGATGTGGTTGTTCATGTCCTCTCCCATTCAAAACACAGGTTAGCTAAGTTCTGCTGTGGTATTTTAGGTACACTTCACATGAAGCAATCACGTTACTTGTATACTCTTTATAATGCAGCCAAGGATAATAAGCTTCTGAATATTGAGCAGATATCTTCATTGTTCTGTGAGTAATGACTAGGAATAGCTGAACTTCTTTGTTTAGATTTGAATCCGGGCAGAAAGGAGAAATGTCACTGGAAGAGCATGGTATTCACTAGAGGCAGTGGGCAGAAGCTTGGCACATTGTGGTTACTGGGAGGATGAATCTTGGCAATGTATGGGTTTACATCTCAGAGAAAACGTTCATTAATGTGAAAAAGCAATTGAAAAGGTGTGCAAAATCTGAAACTCCAGAAACCTTGCCTTTTCTTTTTTAATGACCCGAGATCTTTGTTTTGTCAGCAGAGGAAATAAACTACTGCCCTTTTTTGGCTTTGCAAAGAAGCCAACTAATTGCTCCACAGAAAATCCAATGTTACTGCAACATTACTGTTCATCAGACACAGAAGTGTAAGGCATCATGTTTGCTTAATACTTCATGGTCTCAGAATTTGCCCATGATGGGATCTCAGTTCCTGTTTGTTGGAAGTCAAAGCGTAAGCAAGTACTCATCACAAATATGATCATTTTCTGAGTGAGATAAAGTACACTAATACTGGCTATGTAGCCATTAGGTAATGCTCAAGACAAAAAAAAAATCTATATAATCCAATCAGAGCATAATTAGCTAGTTTCTAGTATTGCATGTACCTTGGCAGATGCAAGATTGTATTACTTTATCAAACAAGTCCCTCTGATTATTCTTTAAGCTGAATGGAGATGCTAACACACTTTGATATGCATTGATGTGGTGCTACCAAAAAAAAAAAAAAAAGCACCAAATCATTCCCTTTAATTGCACATGTCAACCTAAAATTAACTATTTCACATTAACAGTTTCTCCATCATAAATCAACAGTAAAAGGCCTATTAATACTACCTTTCAACAAGATCCCCCTTTCCTACATCTCTTTAAGACATTTATGACTGAACAATGTTATGTACGGCACAGTTCATATTTACCACGTCTGCTCCAATTTTGGTTGTCTCTCCTCCTCCTCCTCACAGTTGGTTTCTTAAATTCCTGAAATAGCCCTTAGTTTCCGCACAATTAAGTGGCCTGCCTTTAGCTCCCTGTTAAGGTGATCAGGTTGGTATCCAGAGGGACATAATGTTCAGATCCCTCTGAAGCTCCGCAGCATCTCAGGCAGATTGGATGCACAGTTCATTAGCTTCATTTCACCCAGGGACTGAGTGTGCTACCTGAACAGGCATCCGATGCCTGCAGACATATTCTTGAGGGAAGGAGGATCAAATGGGTTGTTTCAAGTCTTGCTGCCCTAGTCGCTGGGCCCTCAAGGCTGAAGTCTTATTTTCACTGGAACTGGTTTGTCAGAGCAGGCATCAGATGGCCAGGTGGAACAGGATGCTTCTTTCCCTGGTGAAATGCATACAGAGAGCATACATGCTCCCAAAGTATAATGAATAAATGAAAGATGTGTACTATTTCCAGATGAAGCAGGAGGAAAACAGGCAAGTGGGGCCTCTTCCTCTTTTCTCTGTAAAGTAGAAGAGTGCTATAGAAAAGCACAGAGAACTTTGCTTCTTCCTAGTCACATCCAGAGAACACAGTCCATATGGATCACTCAGAGATGGTGTGTAGGAGAAGTCATCCTAACGAAAATTGTTGAAAGATGAGCCAGATACATCTCCCTCACGTACAGATAAAAGTTAGCCACGGCTTCTTCTGCAACAGTGGCAGAAGTTTCACTGAGAATGAAGAGGACTGGAAACGGAAAGCAGATAAACATCCAGAGAACAGCAGCAGTACAAGCAGGGAAAATGGGTTTCTGGAGAGGCCTATTAAAAGGAAATCTGTGGTTCACCTGGTAAACCAATAACCAAGAGGATTACATCTGGAGGTTCTGGAGTGAGCTGAGAACATCAGTAGGTCTCTCATCTTGGGGACATAAAAGTTAAATCTACCAGTAATAATCTTCCCAACTAAATCCACCTGTGTTTTCTGAGGATGGGTAGCTTACATGACTTCTGTGCCACAGCCAGATCAGCTTTCAGAGAAGGATCTGTCCTTATTTCAATAGGATTTACCTTATATGGAGGTAACATAAAATAATAATATAAAGTAATATAAAAGTCTTCTCTTTATAGATATTGCAATGTACAGAATATCTTTTTATGAAGTTCTTTCTCAAAATAACAGATGTCCATTAATATGTTCATACACTTATATTTGTGTATGTTTATATATGTGTTTAAATAAACTACATAGGCAGCTCTCAGTATCTTTTATTTTGGAGTTTAGCTTTTTTGGTAGGAGTGGATCTTAAGAGTCATAAAAATACCATGCAAATGCAGTTCTTTCATTTTTTCCATATGCCAAAGTTCCTGTTCATATGAGCTTTATGCTTAATTTTGCCCCATTTTTCTTGGTCACGGTTTGCCAGCATCTTTTTCATTCTGGAGAGTTGAGTATTTAGAACTGGGTGTGTTTTTAAAGATGATATATTTCCTAGAAGGTTTTGTGGACAGACTCTAAAACACTGGTGGGTGTCTAGTAAGGTATAAGGTATTAAGAGAGTAGTAAATGTTCTCCAGGGCACCACTTTGCAGCATCTTCTGACTGCTCTCGCCTGTGGAGCTCAGAAGTTACTGCCTCTGTGGCAGAAGCAGCAGCACACAATACACGTCTTCACCTCATTACTCCAGTTCACAGTCCAGGATATTAGTTAAGCCAACAATGAAGGTAACTCTGTGTGAAGACCCCAGACTGAGAACTGGAGAAGCTAATGCACCAGTGGACATCCTTTTCTGCTGGCTGTGCTATGGAGGTTGGTAAGGTCCAGTAGGAGTGGGCAGATTGATAAAGGCAGTAGCATCTTCAAATGCCACACCTTAATTATCCAAAAAGTGTCTGCCAGAGCATGTGCTCACGTGGAGCGTGTCTTCGGTGCATGAGTAGATCTAATAATTTTCCCAATGTGTCATGATACCAATATTCAGAGAACCCAAAATCACATGGGACCTTTTTTCTTCTCCCATATGGCAATAAATGCCATGTTTTCTTTCTTGTGTCACTCATAGCTCTTTCAGCTGTACAGTTTTCCAAATATCTCCCCCTTTCTGCTGAATCACTGCTGTATGGACAAGTGTTTCCTGGCTCATGTGGTCCTGCTCTGAGCACTGCAAACCTCCGTGCATGTGGGGGAATCTTTGTGAATGGGTGGGGAGCCGGGAGCCGAGCATGGCAGCAGGACTGGCAGGGCAGGGGTCTCTCCTGCCCCCAGCCCTCAAGGCAGGCCTTGCAAGGCAGCACGTGTCGACCCTGGTTGTGAAACATTTGGGTGGTGTTTGTAGTTCAGTGGAGCAGGCTTCCTGGGTAAGTGGGAAGGAGCAAAGCTAAATTTTTTAGTACCATAGGCTAGTTTTGCAGTGCTGTGCACTAGCAGGAGAGAAGTTGATGTAGACATCAAGAATTTACCCCACTCATCCTTGCACCATTTTAATCCAATCAATCTAAAATACTTATTCGGTATCAAAGTGGTAGCATACAGTGATATCTGAGTTGGGGCCATTCTCTTGCCATGCTGCCTTGCTTAAAGGCACACACACTCCCTAGACAAAGGTACCACCCGTACTGTTACCGAGTGCTTCCCCTTGACTGGTGTACAAAATGACATGGCAGGCCTGTGAGGGAAATGTCTGTTCTTTCACTGGCTGGTGAAATGATACTTTTGAGATTTTGGGAACGGAGGTGATGATGAAGACACACAGGAATTCATCCTTTCCATCTCTCCCCCAAAAGATTGACTTCATACAGTCAGTTTCTGCTTATTGAGATAAAGATGTTATAGAAGTGTCTTAGGTAAATTATAGCATTTATTCCAAATTGGAAACAATTTGTGATACCTTGTCAGGAAGTTGGGGTCACATTACTCCAGCATATCTCCAAATCCACATGGAGCACGTTTTGTCCAGTTTGCATATGCATAAGTGATAATAAAAGGTGCAAAGAAGAGGAGATCCATCCCATTCGTTCTGTTTTTATAAACCAGCAGCTATGAAAGCCGATCGTAGCTTTTTAAGAAGTTGCTAGAAGAGTATGTTATTTTTCAACTTTGGAGTCTCTATAAATCAAAGCATGTTTTACCTGGAGGTTCTCTTTTTCTAAGTAAATGTAAAAAAAGTGTTCTTCTTTCTATGGGAAATCATTATTTCCTCTTTTGTGAATCATTTTGTTAAATTAGGAAAGCCTTACAAAAAAGTCCTCATATGATGATAGTGTGTGAAAACTGTAAAATATAATTCAGGTTTTTCTTAAGATGAATGACTTTTTCATTGTTTTATTGCTAATAGCAAATGCATTTCAAAATCAAAGTAACTTATTAGAATCCACATCTTTACACTGCTACTGAAATTGTGTTTTGATTTCTTTGACATGATCCCTGATTGCTGTGAGAAGAATCAGTTCAGTATTTTTGTTCTTAGATTCCCCCTCCTTTGTCTTGCAGCTACTTGTGGCAGATTCCATTAACAATTGCAGTAGGAAATACGAGCCACATCTCATCAGAGGCAATTATATGGGTGTCTAACAAATCAGGTAAAAATAAACTTTCCTCCCAGTGGAATCTCATAAAGCATACTTGTGTTTTCCTCAACTGTTTCTTTGGAATTGATCCTAGATAATTGTTTAGTTGCTCTGCACCCAGTTTTAGCTACTTGAAATGAATTACAAAAAAAGGAGAGTTGGGAAGGGAGGGAGGAGGAATGAAGGATGAGCAACAAGCAAGATTTGTAATTATCGCAGAAGTTAGAGAGCATAATGAAAAGCTTTTACATCGAAATGTGTACCTAAGTGCTAAGTATTTTATTTTTAGCAACACATATCAGATCATTGATGAATGCAATTCACTTTATTGATTGGTGAAAGTTAAATGTAATATTTTTATAGCAAAGCATCTGATGAGTATGACTAAGTAAATGCAAAGTATTCAGTATTCTGGCATTTTAAACTCTGATCCATAGTCTGAACCAGGGCTAAGAAATGTTTACTGTCATTAAAAAGTTTTCTTATTGATCTATCAAAGTATTTCTTCTCTCTATTAGATAACCAGATGCTGGACCTCAAAAGTGCATTATTCTGCGTCCTACTTATTTTCTCCCTCCTCAGTTCCTACGTGATCGTAATAGTTACTGTCCTGAGGACAGCTAGGTCTAGATACCAGTGGGTTTTTATCACCAAAAAAAGGGATCCCGCCATAGAAATTTCATGAAATATTTCTCTATTTCCTTACCAGTTCATGCTACATCAGCTGACAGTTTTGGACTGGGATTGAAGACAGTGAGGGAAGAAATGTGGAGACTTGAATAGAATGATTATATGGAAGGGAAAAGAAGGATCCATGCATCCCATAGAAACACGGGCTGTAGAAGGAGAACTGACCCCTTCTTGTAAATTTAGAAGGGTAGACTTCCCTCTGATAGAAATTAACCCAGAGAAGGGAAA